CATTAAGAGTTGTTAACCTAATCTTACGTAGTTTTTTCTCTGGTAATATTACACTAATAACTAGAGCATACAAAACATTTGCTAGACCAATACTCGAATACAGCTCATCAGTCTGGAACCCACATTACGTATCTGATATTAACACAGTTGAGAAAGTCCAGAAATATTTCACAAGAGTTCTATACTCCTCTACTCATTGCAGAATACCTTATGCCACCAGACTTGAAATTCTAGACCTAGAAAACTAGAACTACGCCGCCTTCAGTCCGATCTAAGTATAACATATAAAATCAAACATTGCAATGTCCTTCCGGTCAATGAATACTTCAGCTTCAACCATAACAACACTAAAGCAAACAATAAATACAAACTCAAGGTTAATCGCACCAAACTTGATTGCAGGAAATACGACTTCAGCAATAGAGTGGTCAATGTCTGGAATACTCTACCTGACTCTGTGTTTTTTTTCTCCCAACCCCCAAAACTTTAACCTTAGACAGTCTACTATTGACCTCACCCCTTTCCTAAGAGGTCTGTAGGGGGCGTGCATAAGCGCACCAAGGTGCCTACCGTCCCCGTCCCATTGTTTCTTTTATATATTTTTTATTTTTCTTATATGTAGCCATGTATTCATAACTATTTTTACTTATACCTATTATCTTGTAAGCAATTGACAAATAAAAATAAATAAAATAAATACTTCTTGATAAAATAAAAATAATATGGGATAGGCCCATCACCAGGCCCACCACCAGATATATTCACAATCGTCTGACCAACTGCATCCAACTTGTAGTCCTGAATGGAACTATATCTACATGGAGAGAAGCACACAGGCAGGAGGGATGGATCAAATCATGGAGCTAAATCATAGGATGAACAGTTGAGGCAGCCAAGCATGTCCAGCCTATTGATGAGAAGGATTAGAGGAGACATGATAACTATCTTCCGGCACTTGAAGTGATGTGACAGAGAAGAGGAAATTGACTCATTTATAAAGCACCAGAGAGCAGGAAAAGAAGTAAAGGGTGGAAGTTTGTTAAAGAGAGATCCAATCTAGAATAAGAAAAAAAATTCTGACAGTGGGAACTATCAATGGAACAGCTTGCCTCCCAGAGTTGTGGGTGCTCCATCACTGGAGGTTTTCAAAAATGGAGTGAACAACTATTTGAGTGAGATGGTACAAAGTCTGCTGCCTTGAGCTTGACTAGATCTAGAAGACCTCCAAGTTCCCTTTCAGCCCTTTGATTCTATATTTTATATCAGTTAAAATCATGATTAGAGCAGTTCCTTCCAGGAATAAATATCTCCATTTTAGGACTGGCAATCCTATTTTTTTTAGCTCAGCCTATTGCCTTAGAGTCTAGGAATTTCTTAGTTACTGAAGCAAGCTAGTATTGCTATTTATTCTTCCAACCTGAATTCTTATCTTTCCAATTCTGCACCTGTTTTCTTTGCAAATAACTTACCTCTTTTCATGGTGGAGGTTGAGAAATACAATTTAAACAATGATTGGCTAGAAAAATGGTATATAAATCAAGAATATCCCATTGCCTGGAGTTTGTGCATCTTGTGAAGGAAAACAAATATGTCACCACCATTACATTGAGAATTGCAGTTGTAGGCCCTTCTTGGTGATATAATGATTAAGGCTCAGGGCTAGGATTTGGGAGAGTCAAATTTATCAATCACCTCAGAAGTTCACTGGGTTAGTATACACATTTGAACTTTGACTTTCTTGAAATCAAGAAAGCTGGAAATACATATTTCAAATATCTTTAATGGTAATCTCTGATAAATAATCTTGGAAACTATAAGAACTTCCAAGCCTCATCTATAGACAGGTGGAATCCCTTTGAATGATCTCAAATGCTTCTTTTTACATATATTGCCATCTCAACTGAGTTGCTATTTGTGAAATAAGCTGCAAACAGATTTGCCTTTTATTACTTTAGTGTTTACTTCCACCTCTGTGCATTTCTAAACTGCTCCACAATCTTACTCTCCCAGATCAGTCTACTTTATAGGCTTGTTGTTAAGGGAAAATATTGCAGGACATTTTCAGCTCCTAAAGGAAAGGTGGATAATTACATCTTAGTTTTAACAAATAAAAGAAATGAAGCAGGAGCTGAAGGAAGAAATATCGGAGATGAGCTCACGATGTCTGATTACGGTTTCTGGATGCAATAACAGATTCTAGTAATGGGAGTATCAATGACATTTGCTTAACTGCTTGCAAATAGATGAGATTTTTGACTTAAGCAAATAATGAGTGTTTCAAATGTTTCACAGTTCAATATTGTAAACATATCAGCCTTGATTAAACCAAGTAATTGCAAAATGTAAGAATGTATACATTCAAACTATAGTAAATATATAATTAACTACATTTAAACTGAATGATTGCCATCAACAATGAAAAATTATTTTTGCAAGTAAGGAAATGTTCTTTAACTGACTATATGAATATTTTGATCTACAACTACTTGCAAAAGGGAAAAAGAGGATTTCAGAAGGAAAAAACACAATTTCTGAGAGACCTCTGATAAACTTCACATTTCTTGTTCTCTTCTTGATAATCATTATCTTATAGCAATATTCAAAGCTAAATTGCTAATATTTCAACATAAAAGCAAGTGTTATATAAACATAAGATTTATCTATTTTATTCCATCTTTAAATAAAAAGCAGAAGGATTCTTCTGAAGAGAGGAAAGTTATAAGTGTAAGGAAACTATATTATTTTGTAATATGTCGTGTACATTTTTTGTGCTGGTCTATGAACATAATAAAAGATTAGATATTGAATGAATGCCATGTACATACTTGAAGCTTAACAACAATAAGAAACTATTAATCATGTTTATCATGCATTATGGAAACCTGTACTTCATGTTAAATTTGGCAATTTGGCGAGTGACAAATCAGGAGGATCTATGAAGAACCATGTAGCATAGCCATCACAACATGATGCCTACTGGACACGATATTCAATGGCCTCATCATTTTCATTTTGGTAGTAACAGAATTGATTTGGATTTCAACATATTGTATATAATACAGCTCCTGAAACCAATTAAAGTTTAGTTATTAGCTGAAATTGGACAGAACTTTTTGGATCTGAGCTAATGGGCATGAATAAAAAACATGCTTCAAGGCCTGGTAAAACCCTACCATATGCATTAACATTACATATTAAACTTAGTTCCTATTTACTTTTGTAAGGTTTGTGTGTGTGGCTAAACAACACTTGGGCAACCTTGGCTAATCCAGAAACATTTAAATAGCAAACAACTTGACTAATGAATGGGAAAGTATCAGAAAGCCCAAAATATATAAACTAGAATAGACTCAGAAGTTAAAAGCCCTCCTGAAAGAAGGCATTGGCAAATCACTTCCAGGCTGGAAGAGTATGGTATGAGAGTTCTCACACCATGAAAAATAGAGCAAATCGGGCAATTACAAAAATGGAGGGACAGGTGAAAAAAAACAACCACCAACAGTGTGGATTAAGTAATGAAATATTACACGGGGTAGTGGAGGAATATATAGTTCTATTTGAACATTTGTTTCTATATATAAGGCTTTTGTAAATGACAACTGCTAAAATTCTTTTGGCTATTGGTTTTCTAATGTTCATTTTGTTTAAATTTTTGGATTTCATGTCAACTTCCTTGAATGTAACAGTTCCACTGTTGTCTCTTTGGGAATACTCACATCTACCCAAGTCACTAAGAAGCAGAGCTCAACTCCAGAGGGATTTTAATGCTACATAAATGCACCCGCTGCGGAAGTTTAGGGTAGCTAACCCAGAACGCGAAGCAGGGGAGACACTAACTGTGTCTTTTTTCTGCTGCACTTGCGCTCCCCTCCGGTTTGTTCTGTTAACCGGGGGCTTCACCTCTGCCCTAAAACTTGCCACGACGGCACCAACAGCCATTCCTCAGCTCACGAAGTAAATCCAAACGGGGGGGGGGGGGGGGCCGCGCGAGGAGTCCCGCCAGTCAGGATTACACCGTAAGCAGCGTTGCCCTGAAGGTCTCCTGCTGTCATAGTCACGCGGACGCTGCCCCGAGGCCACGTGCCGGATCAGCAACAAACGCCCACGTGGTCCCACAGCTGCGCAGAGCACTTGGCACTGCGCTTGCGCGAGGCTGACAGGAAGGCGAAAGTATTGGAAGGCTTTTTTAAAAAAAAATAAACAATTTGAGCGAAGAAAACGCGACACGGAATAATTGCCTCTTGCCTTTTAGTGTGGAAACAGCATGATTCCGGTTAGGAATCAAGTGACAGCCCTTACTGCTTTACTTACGCCTAGAGAACTCCTGCCGTTCTACGTTTGAATGCAGGGGAATCATGGTGGCATTTTCATTATCTTAACCATCCCGTTATGCTAACCATTTTCAAGTAGTTAATGGGTGGACGCATACAAAGCAGCCAGTTATGATATTTATGAACGTCAAAAGCAAAAAGTTTCAAATTACAAGCCATAGAAGCCTACGGCCTAAGCGCGCTTGAACGTCCTTTTTCTGATTTTGTAGCGGCTTCCATGAGTGCTGGGATTAGTTACGGTGACGAAATATATAACCAATCGTTTTCGGTTTTGGAAACAAATGGGTGGGACAATATGCAGTTTAACTTGACGGACTGTATTTTTAGCGAATTAGAGAAAGGCCAGGAGAAAAAAGTGAAAAGGTTCAAGTTTAAAGCAATATACGTAGTTGGCCTCGCCAATAAGACACCGGATGGCTTACACACCGTCCAATTATCATCACAAGCTTAGAGGGCGGAGTTAAAATTGATAGACATAAACTTTAAGCCACTGTATCGCGGGATAGTTAGGCGGTTAGCCAATGGAAAAGAGGGAGAGGCGGGAGAAAGGGGAAGGTCGTATTAAAGACAGCCAGGAAACGAAACCAATGGCCTCGAGCGTTATTGCAGGGCTACCAATAGGCGGCTCAGAAGGCGGGCCTCTATGTGTTTGGGTTCGTGCTTCTCCAGGGAGTGAGACGGCGGCGACGAGGAAAGTTTATTTTTTTGGAGGCGGTGTTTCCCTCCTTCCCCTGCCATTTGTTTGCATCTTGAGATAAGCTGGTAAGGCGGGTAAAAGCGGCTCCTGCAGAAGCGCCGAGGAGGAGGCGGTGGGCTTCGCGGCTGCACCGCGGCGAACGGAGAGGCGACGATCGTGGCTTCTTGTGGGTGAGTGGCGACGCAGGCCTCGGGGATACGGGTCCGTGCTCGGTTTCAGTTAAACCAAGGCGTCTTGAGGTAACGCCGTGGAGCCTTTCCACAGCATCCTTGCCGTTCCGCCGGGAACGATCATAAATCCTGAAGGGAAACCCAACGGCTCCCTCGCTTTCATCTCCTTTCCCTTCTACTCAGTCGCCATTCGTATTTGTCACTAGATTTTTTTTTATTTTGCCTTTTGATAACAGGTCGGGGTGGTGGTTTCCGTCTTTTTTCACGCCTGTAGCCGCAAAAGCTTCCCTCAATCGGAGCTATTTGGCTTCTGCAGGGGGGGACGGGGGACATAGAGGCGTTTCCTCAGCTGCGCCTGCGCACTGACGGCTTATCCGAGGGTATTCGTAGTAAGTAGATCGTCGAATACTTAAAGGAACGGTTCCCCTCCCTCTTCCTCCCCCCCCCTTTTTTTTTTGCGAGCTAAACGAGTCTCAATCCCGGAGGAAAAGTTTCCTCCAGCACCCACGAATGCGATTTCCGTAGCACCTTGACTTCCCCGCTTGGAAGAGGAGTGAACGGAGCGAGAGGTTTTGCAAAATCGTCGGCAACCTCCCGGCTCCTTTTCGGTCTCACCCGCTTCTGGAGCCGAGCTTTGCACGTCTCTGTTATCGGTGAAGTCCGGGAGTTGCTTCCGAAGCCAGCCGGACTAACCTGAATGTTGGTGTAAAGTCTTATTTATAGCAGCGTTGGTTGTAGCGGTTCCTGGTCCTTTAAATACAGCGTGAAAAACGATCCTAAAAGATATAAATAAGTGTCATCGCCTGGCTGGCTTTCTGTTTCCTTCTTCCCTCCTTCCATCAGCGGGACTCTCGCTACCGCTAGTTTAGAGCGTTAACTTGTAATATTTATTTGGTCCTGCTAAGAAATATTGGCACTGAAGGCAGCACGTTTCCCTCAGTTGTACTAACAAGACAAGGAATAGCTCAAATGAAAGTCATAACATCATTTAAATGTAGCATATAGACTCTCGCTGGATCAACTCACGTAGATGATGGGATGGTACGAAAGAGGCGTAACAAACGTCTGATGGATTCCTTCTAGTGGGTGTTAAATGTTTGCTGAAGCAAGATTACTACCTGCCATGCAAGGAAAGTGCAGCTTTAGGTGCTCCTTTCCCTTTATGATCCGTAGTATGGTGCTGCACCTTATCAATATAATCAACTAGTATGAGCTGTAATTAGGCAATTACTGGCTGCATTGGCTAGCTTTTAAAAAATTAAGAGGAAGATTCACCTGTAGTTGAAGAGTCAGGTTGTGTTTGGAAGAACATTTAATATTAGCACAGTTCTCTATAAACCGGAATGTAAAACTAGTGTTTGCTATGCTAGCAAGGATTAAAATTGATGTTAGCTTTAAGGGATAATAATGTCCCTTTATTATTGCTAAATATGGAGTGAAAGATTGTAGAAATAATACACATTCATTAAATTGGATCCTGCTCTCCTGTGTTGCTTAGACAAAATTAGTTCTATGCTTACATTTATATGTTATAGAATTTGATAATTGTCTTTTAGTCATATAACAAATAATTAGAACCACTATGGGCAGAGCATACCCTTTAAAAAAAACTATTTCTGGAATGCAAAAAATGTTTCTTAAAAAGATGGAAAGGTTTGGTTAAAATAAGCAATTTGCTTATGAATTCAAGTACAAATTAGATGTCTAAATCTCAGAATACAAATGCTCTCCTTTGAAACTGTAGTTATTTCTCTTTATTTGGGATTATCTCTGTTCCTCCCTTATTTTTACTTCGTTCCATAGCCATTACATAGAATCCCCTTACCAAATTGGAATGTCCCAGTTTTTCCTATATCAACTTGTTCTGTACAACACTGCCTATCCAAATCCCATTTTTCTTATTCTTTGTGTGTAGTCTGGTTATGTCATGCTGCTTCCTCCTACTGCATACTTCCCAGCTGTCCCTAGTTGCCATCCCAATTTACCCTTCTTCTGAAGCAGCAACAATAGAGTTTTTCTTTTTGTTGGAGGAAAGTGAGATTTTCACCAAGAACTGCTGATTTCCACAGATATCCATCATTTTACTTCAGCATCTACATGGCCTTCCTGGATTTTGAAGCATTCTATGAGATGACAAGTTTCTGCAAAAATCTCTTTAGTTTGAACTATTCCCAAGTTACCTGATGATTAAAAAATAAAATGCTGTTAAATATAACAATGGATTTCATGTACAAAGGTAGCATTAGTTATCCCACTTCTAAACATTGTCTTGTAATGTGTAAATTGTAAAATGTTTATTGTAGCCTTCTCTGACTTAGAAAAGCATATGAATCTGTAGTATCCATGTATTAAGATATGTATTTTATAAAGCAAAGAGAAAAATGTGCTAATATTGAATTTCTAGTGAAATGCTTTTTATTATATAAAATAGATAATAGCTGCTGTTGATGAGACCATCAGGATTTTAATATAGGTATTCAAGTTTGTTTTACAAGAATATAACAAATTATGAAGTTAATAGTTTCTTTTGAAAAATCTTATCAGTTAAATTCCTGTTATACTAATTAAGATGCTATAGGATACATTTCTTGTTAGCTTATATGATTTTGTCAACATCTGAGTACATGAATTTCCTATGCTATGTTTACATATTCTCAGGAGAAGCAAATTTTGCAAATGCTTTTGGATAGGTTTTAATTGATAGAAAGCATCTATTCACGGGAAGTTTTTACTGTGGCATTATTAGGATATAAGGATTTTTCCACAGAATTACCGGCTATGTCTACATATGGTAGCTGCTCAGTTTTGCTTAGTTCATGCTTGTGCTCCTTTGCTGTGCATAGGAAATGACAGCATTGGTGACAAAATAGTTGTCATATGATTGATTTGCCAGGGATCTCTCTATCCCATTCCTCCACCCCCCTTTCTCTCACACACACATCAAATAGACAGTGGAAATTGTATTTGATTCAAATTAAATTTAAGATTGAATGTATGTATTTAATGTGAGCATTTTACTTGTATTAATAATCTTCTCTTTCATACTAAAAGCCACAATTTGGCAGCAATATTTAAAGATCCTTAATAGCTGTTTTGGGAGGGCATTATGTGGCCCTTGGACTGACACCTGACAATTATATAATGTGTTTTACATAGATCAGAGTATATTGTAGAAATGAAAGCACACAAGATTAAATATAACATCTGTTAGATCACTATGCCCTCTAGTACAGCTGTGTTTTAAAAGTACTGTTAACTATACAACAGTCTATAGAACAGGCTTTGGCAAGGTTGGCAGCTTAGAAATGAATAAATGGTGTATCTGACAAAGAGTGGTCTAAGATGGTTATTTCTGTATTCTGATTTCTACTGTAATTGCTGAAATGGATCACCTTTTTCTTTTATTTGTGGCTGATACTTAAGTACTGGTTGATTAGATTTTGATTTAGTTTAGGCGCTGCTCAACTTCAAGCAGACTTTGAGGAACTCATTATACCATCAACAATGAAAATGCAACAAAAGAAGTTGGGGATCTGATCAAACAGTACAAAAAACTAATAAAACACGCTCAACAAAGGGATTCTAGTCACCCTAACCTAACTGGAGATCAGGGAAAACAGGTCTTTCGGGCCTTAGGGAATGGCAGTTGGATAGGAATCACATGGATTTCAGTGGAGAATCTTGTTTCAGAGGATAGGCACTATGATAGATAAAGCACATTTCCTAGATTTTGATATTTGGCAATACTTGATCAAAGGTACTCTGAGCATGCCTTCTTCCACTACATGGTAACCAGAGAGAATCTATGAAAATAGGCAATCCCTCATATAACCTGGCCATATGATATGTAGGACTTAATAGGCCAGGATTTGTACCAGAAAGCATACTGGTAGCCTGTGCAGTTCGTGAAGCGGAGGTGACTCATGAACATACCCAGACATACATACCCATCAATGCCTGACCCACTGTATTCTAAACCAGCTGATGTTCTGAATGGTTTTCGGGGCTGCCTTGCTAATTCTGATCTCTGGAACAAGAACTTCAATTTGATCTTTCTTACTGATGACATTTTGCCAACTGCCAGTCAGAATTGATATCATGGCTTGCTACTTGGCACTTTTAGATTGTTTTGCTTATTCTTTATTTTCTACTATGGGATATAAATTAGTTTTCCAGTATGTGGAGCCTTCTGCTTTTATCTATGTTATATTATGTATGTATACATTAGTTTTCCAGTATATGGAGCCTTCTGATAATCATAGTTATTCTATATTTTATCAGACTATTTATTATTGTACAAGATAGTCCTCAACATACAACCAGATGCTTAAAGATTGTTCGAAGTTACCACTGACTTGAAAAAAGTTAGTTATAACCTGCCTCAAAGTTACGATTGCTGTACCACCCAAGCAGTCACATGATTGCATTTTGGGCACTTGGCAGCTGGCTTGAATTCATAATCAGTTGCAGTGTCCTGCAGTCATGTGGTTGCTTTTTGTGCCATTTTCTGGGGAAAAATTGCCCTTTGGATAAGCTGGATTCAAGTATACAATCACATGATTCATTTAATTACCCCCTGACTCCTTAATAACTGTTGTAAAAACAGTTGTAAAATTAAGTCCAATCATATGGTGACTTGACGTGACCACAATGCCTAATGACCAAATGTCTGGGCTCTGTTACAGTTATAAGTCAAGGACTAATTAAAAATAGTAACATAGTGCATAAATGTCTATGCTTCTTTTTCCAAATCAACAATTGTTACCTTTGAGATATTTGTCAAAATAAAATAATACTGGTATTTATTGTGCTGCCTTCTTATTTCAAAGGCTTTTTAGTGCTGAAGTAACATTATTAATAATGAACTGTCATTATAATGTAATAATTGTTCCCTTGTTATGAACAATAGAAAAATGCTGGTTTGTTTTTGTTTTTCTTTCTACAGTAATTTGACTTTTGCACTGAATGTAGCCAGGACAGGTCCTAGTGGGCTTCAATAGCCCTAAGAAGCTGTCAAGGTAAATTGGTTAAAATACAAATATACAACTGCATAACATTGTACATATGGAAAATGTGTAGACAACACTGATTTTTGTGCTCATTTCTTTTTGCTGAATATATTGATCATAATTTAAAAGAGTTCCACAGAAGAGTTGTTTGTCAGTATAGAAATACCATTCCTTTAAACTTTGGCTATCCTAAGTGAATACAAAGGTTTTACTTAAAACAGATCTCCAGATCAGTATTAACATATGACAATTCTCCTAGTTACTTTGTTCAACAGCTGAAATGGTATAGTTAAGGTATGGCACAGTATTACATACCTGGCAGAGGATCAGGTCCTCTCAAGTAGTAGTTCTTCAACTTAAATATTTCCATATGTTACGGAATTTAACTCTCCAGTTCTAGCCAACACAATAAAAGATGGTGGTGGGGGGATTAAAATCTAGGTTGGATATACTTTTTTAGAGCTGTATGATTCCTTGCTGTTACTCGATCTTATAAAAAAAATATCCCATATCTGTTACCATATTGTGCAGGTATCCCATAAACCCAATAATAGCAGTCGCATACAGTTTTTTATGGGAATTTTGAAAGTTAAATTAGCCTTAATGGTGCTTTGGATATAATATTGCTTATAATATGAAGGAAAGGGGAAAAAGATGGGATATGTCATCTTTGTTTTGCTGTATTCCATTTTCCTTTGCCTTGTTAAGGCCACACTGGCTGTTCAATTCACCATACTTGGTCAACTTTTTTTTTAGTAAGAATGCAGATTTAAAAAACATGATGATTTATTAAACTCATAGTCAGCCTAACTCTCAGCAACTCTGAGCCATTTACAGTTGTAAACTTTAAGAACAAAAATCAATACAAAAACCACAAAAATATAAAGTTATGTCTGTTCACTAATCCATAGTGGAAGATCTAGATGTACTACAGTAGGAGCAAAGTAATCACTAATAAGCTAGATGTTTGTGGAAGACCTTTTTATTTTTTATTTTATTTTGATTGATGGGACAGGATGTTTCTTGAATTTTATAATTTAAGATTCTCTACCTTTCAATCTTCTTGGGTTTGATAACTTCATTTTTATCTCTAGAAATAAGTCCACGATATGTATTACAAACATTAAAGTTTCCTAAAAATTAGTTAAATTAATGAATAAAATAGGTTCATGATTATTGTGACTAATTCATTGAGGAATTAATTTAATTAGAATACATATAGACTCCACCCCATTTTTAAATTTCTCGATAACATTTCTGCATATGTGCTTTTTCTCCCAAATGGCCTTTTATTTTGCTCTGAAGTACTGGTATGCACTGATTGTCCAGTGTACGAAAAGCTACATGTTGTGTGAATTTTTAATGATATTTTTGTATTATAGTATACTCAAAATTGTATATATTTTAAATATATTTTCCTTCCATTCTTTTTCTTTGGCAGAATTTCATATTTCAGCAGAATTTTGCACAGATTCTGTTTCCATGCAAACTGATGAGGGAGAAATTTTGGAAGAAGGCAGTTCCAAGGTCAGTAAAATAGTAGAATAAGGTTGTGGTAAATTTCATTGTTCTTATATGAATTTGATTTCCAGATTGCAACTTGTTTCGAAATAATATTCCATGCACTGATGCAGACAAAATTTATATAATTGAATCTAACCTAGACAAGCCCAGTTACAGAAAAAGTTAGTGTCCCATACCACTCTGATTAGGTAATTAGTTATATGTGGGCTGGGTTGTATGCTTGTACATAACTGGCAAATGAAACATCTATCCTCTCTTACAGTCCATTTTCTCATCTTTAGGTGCCATCAGCACATGAGTTAAACATTTGGCTGACAGGTTTTCACTACTCCCAGTATTAAAAAAGAAATATTACCAAAAAAAATTGTTCAGGGGATTATATGCATTCCTTATTTTTGCCTATGTTATCCCTCTCCTCATTGTAGTGGAGGTTGAAAACTGAAAGGAGCGGTATGTCTAGAGAAGCTCTGTTGTTGAAAAAAAAACTTAAGACATTGTTCCTTCTGGTGTTTGTAACTGAGACCATCAACTTTCTAGTAAGCAATATGTATGCCAGGGAGGGAATTAGTTTAGATCCAGTAAGTCCTGAGCAGGTAACTCAGTTTTAAATTCACTCAGGTTATATCTTCTGTTACCAGATATTTGAAATGGCAAAGTATTACACAGATCACTGGAAAGGAAAGCAAATGGGAGGAAAAGATGATGTATAAATTGTTTAATGTTGACTGACAAGGGGAAGAAAGAAGCAGATAATTTACACGGTCATAATACACAATTGTTCCACTATTGTGATTTTTTAATTTTTTAATTTTAAAAAATAAGATTTTAAAAGTTGGATAATATTTGACTTTAAGGCTATTTAAGGTTGTCAGTGATTCCTCTTCACACTGGACCACCGGGGGCTTTATCTAGAATATTCTTCAGTATTTTTCTTCATTGTTTGAACAAAGTGATGGGAGAAATATTCATCAATTTTGCAATTTATAGAATCAAAATGAGATGGGAACTCTAGAAAAATTGCAGTTCAAAATGCTCTTGGTTGCAGGAATAGCTTGAAAAAATAATGAATAAATTAACATCATTTGGGGGAACTAATGTATAGATAAAGAGGGTGTGTCTGGCTCTGAGAGTTGTGGGATAAAGATCTTAGAATTATACCGGTCACAAGCTGCATTGTGATGTTGCTGTTAAAAACGCAAATTTAGTTTTAGAATACATTAATAGAAATACATTTTCCAAACATGCAAAGCAATTCTTCCATTCTGTTTTTATTGATCATATCCACTTTGAATATTCAGATAGCATATTATGGGGAGAGAAAAAAGAGTAAACAGGAATAGAAGCAAAGAAAGGACAATAGGGATGATCAGAGAACTAGAAATTAAATCTTGGGAAGAAAGACAAGAAATTAGGAATGTTCAAGTTTAAGAACAATGAGAGGGATATACTTATCAAGTATCTGAAATAGTGTTACACAGGACATACCTCCACTTACCCACTTACTATCTTTCCAGTAAAATTGAAATTGCTAAGACAAATTACAGGTAGTCCTTGACTTACAAGTACAATTGAGCCCAAAATTTCTGTTGCTAAGCAAGACAGTTAAGTGAGTTTTGCCCCATTTTATGACCTTTCTGCCACAGTTATGTGAATCAGTTTCCAGTTGTGTAGTTTGTATCATAGTTGTTAAGTAAATCTGGCTTCCCCATTGACTTTGCTTGTCAGAAAGTCACAAAAGATGATCACATAATCTAGGATACAGCAACAGTCATAAATATGAGTCAGTTGCCAAATAGTCTCTAAACAAACAGCTGTATGTTGCGGACTACATATGGATATTCAGTTTTTAACTTCTGTGGATTTGTAAGATTGACATAAAACATTTAAGCTGCTGTGATAAACAGCTTAGAATTATTATCAAATTGTTTTGTGTTACTTCTGCAGCAGCTTTGATATGGTTTATTGCTAATAATTTTTGAGAAGTTGCAGTCTCTAGAATATGCCCTATTTCCTTGAATTTATGTTCTCATTAAACTTTAAATTTCTAGAGAGTTTTATTCTGTACTATCTGAAATTCACGCCTGATGTAATAGTAGTTGTATTAAGTCAAAAAGGATACACGCTGCCAGTGTGCAGGAGTGAAAACATAACACTTAGCTTGAAACATCTTAAAATATTCCTTTTTTTTGTGGGATAATGAATAACTACTTTAAGGTGTTGCAGAAAAGTGCTGTGTTGAGATTCCAAGCTTCATTTTAAAGATTGAATAAAAAGTATTGTTCTGTTCTTTATGGCATTGAGATTGCCCTGTCTTAAAGTATAGCATGTTATATTTGTGTACTCAGTTGTTTGTGATTAATTGCTAATTTAAAGTATTTTATATTTCAGAAAATTAATCCAATTGGGTTGATATTGTCTACTTGCATTAGCACAACACTGAAGTTAGATATTTTCCCATACAGCTTATGACCACAATTGATCCGAAAATTTTGATCCCCAAATTAAGCAAGAAAGTTGTGAAGTGAGTTTTATCCCATTTTTTTCAGTGCCATTACAACTTCAAACAATCACTAAAAAAATACTGTAGTTGTAAATCGAGAACTACCTGTAATGATTTTCTAACTAAAAAGCATTGATCTTTCAGTAAGATATTGCTTCCTATAGTTCACCAACTAGAGTATTAGGGATAGCATAGTGTTGGAAGTAACTTAAGTTATAGGCGCAGCAACACATACACACAATCACAGTTTGGGTGCTTGACAGTTGAAGTGTCTTGTGGTCCTATGACCACAATTTGTGACCTTCCCAGCTGGCTTCTGAAATATAAAATCAACTGGGGAAGCAGGATTTGCTTAACCTTGTGATTCACTTAAGCATGATAAAATGGTTGTAACACAGGATGTAGTCATGTGATGACTCAGTGATTGAATTGCTTAGCAACCAAAATTCTGATCCCAATAGTGGTTGTAAGCTGAGGACTAGCTACACAGTTAATCTCTTAGTAGTGATACAAAATAGCCTTAATGGCAAAGTAAAACAGCTTTTGTAGAGTCTAAAAAACTAATTGTAGATATATTTGTCTCAAAGTTTAGAACCAATTTCTTTCTCTTGCCATTTTGTCATAGTAAATTTTTTTCAACTCTTTTTTCAAATTATCATATAACAGTTTTCTGTTTCCCAAATTCCTTGCTTTTTGACTTGTCCAGCCATCCCACTAAAGGAGCGGAAAGAATGTACATAAGTACACTGAAATCTTTGCAAGTCTTTGGATATCTAAAAATTGATTTGTGTACTATACTCCTAAGATATAGATTCCTATAGCGGTTAAAGTGTCAGGCTAGAAACTGGGAGAATATAAGTTCTAATTAAACCTAAGGCACAAAACCAGCTGACGTTGGGCTATTCGTTTTCTCCCAGACTCTTGAAAGAAGGTAACAACATACCACTTCCAAAAATGTTGCTAAGAAAGCTGAAGGAAGTTCCCAGAAGTCAACATTGATTAGAAGATTCAATTCTCTCCCCACCGCTGCCCCAGCTCCTAATTGAAAAGTTTTATTAGCAACTAACTGTTAAATAATTGCTATACACTACACTGTATGGGTTGCCATGTTTTAAAGGTCTTAGCAATTAACTGAATATTATGGTGGAATTAATTTGATTAACTAAACAGGCTTAAGCAAACAGTTGAATGAGGCAAACACTTGGCAGACAGAGTAGTGTTATCTACCCTTTCATAAATCTTAGAACACTTCCACATATTTAAAGACCTGCTGGCATAGTCAGAGTAAGGGAAGAATGATGGCAACTAATTGAAAACAAGACTAAGCGAACTTAAAGTGGAATAAAAGTACTTTAAATAAATGTCATTTCTCCCTGACATCATTTTGTGAGGGCTGAATTTTTCAGATCCAATGCTTATCTGTTCTGTCTTTTGCAGTTGGAGAGCCATTTCAGTGCAGTGGTTAAAATGCTGAGCTCTAGAAAGCAGGAACCCCTAATTCTAGGCATGAAAGTCATATAGATAACTTGGGCCAGTCTCTTTCTCTCAACCCAGCCTATCTCACAGGGCTGTTGTTGGGAAAATAAGAATCAGGTGCATTAGGTATGATTGTTGTCTTGAGTCTACCATAGATAGATAGCTGGGGATAAAAATATAACAATAATAACAACTGATGTTGGGAACATTACTTATGCAGCTTTCCTTCTGCCCTGGACTACTGATGAGAATGACCAGATATGTATCATTTGGCATGACTTCTTACTGATTGTAGGAGGATTGCAGCAGCTTAAAGTATAGAAATACTTTTCAAACTATTTTAGACATTCTGATTTAAAATATATGTATGTATGTATGTGTATAGATAGATAGATAGATAGATAGATAGATAGATAGATAGATAGACAGACAGACAGACAGACAGACAGACAGAGACAGACAGACAGCTATCCTGACCTGCTAGAATTTATTTTCAAACTAGCCAGTTTTAGAGCTTAATTTCCTCTTGATGTTCTGGAATGATTTTACTTATCTGTAGCTCTCATCTATAGTGCAAAAATTATTTGTTTCACTTAGCCTGGAAAAATAAAAGCAAACTAATTAGCATTGCCTAAATACCATATTACAGTGGGAGGAGAAAAATAAAGTTCAAAATCTGTTTTACCAATCAGTTCATTATTTTCTTTAAAACTCTGTACAGAATAACTTGCTTTCTACATACTGCATATCATATTTTCTCCAGTCTATGAAATTGCCCTTCATTGCATGTTTTTAATATTTTTGAAATGTATTAATGGCTTAAAAACAATATTTATATTTGTTGTTGATTTTAGATTACTTTGCTTTAAAAATCTAATATTTATCCAAAGAACATTGTGTTAATTGTGTTTAAGGACTTTTTCATGTTTCCAGTAAAATTTGTATAAAAATTTACCTTACCTCATCCCTATAATTCCTATAATGCCTCACATTGGGGTTGACCATTAGTATCTCAGATGAAGATTTT